AATGCTAAAACCATCACGCATAATGACCTCTATACATGCCCAAAGATAATACATTTATGCTACATACCCTTCAGGCAATGCAAATGTTTACCCCAACTCATGCGTGCACTAATTAAAAGGCTCGGGAAAAGACTTGGATTGATGAAGTCATCAATTAGGCAGATGATAATTGTCGGGAACTTAAAAACAGAAACGATTAACTGTCACTCACGATTTTGCCTCGTGTTATGTTAGCCCATGCAATATTTGCAGCTTCGAAAACTTGAAATTCAGGAGGAATTGGGCTAGTCTTCAACCCAGATGTCGTTATGAAAGAAAACAGTTGTGGGTTTCGTGTACATATGTAAGATTTAAGGTCTTCAAAAATTCATTAGTTTATAAAAAGTGGGAGTTTGGTATATTTGCAGATTGTAAAACAGTACAAGACATATATATAGATTTGATTATTATAAAGGTTATCCTTGAAGTTATTTGCTTTCGAATACTGACTGATTTCCCGCGCACAAATTAAATATGTGTTACTGGCATCGATTCAAAGTTATAACTCAAATAGATCTTATTTCTGAAAACCTCAGTCATTTTAGATGACAATATCATTCGAGCTCACGAAGTTAACAAAACTAAAGTTATCAAAAAACCTCTTATGATGGTAGTCGTATCGCGAAAAATGTAGCCTTAAATAGTAGTGTGCTGATAACTTCGCACGTTAGTCGTGACGTCTCCGACAATTTTACGACCTTTGCTCAATACCAACTTTATTGGGTTATTAAGCATGCATAATTTAAAACGCATTAGTAAATGAGGAAAGCTACGCCTGAGCGTCCAAAACAGAAATTAGGAGGGGAAAAAGACCAGCGAAATAGGAACTTATGCTATTTTTAAAATTTTGCGTCGCGTGTCTCTTGAGTTACTTGTTGAGAAAGTTTTCTACAAAGAAGTTCAATTTAATGGAAAAAAACTTTTAAAATACGACATGATAATATACTTGTTCATCACCTATCTTGGTATTTTCGAAGTTGATTATGTACATTTTTAATTGGCTTAGATATTGTCAGATTTCAAAGAAGAAAGTCCGATTAGCCTATGAGAAATGGGGATAATTGTATAATGATTAGCCTTTAAAAGACACATGAGTTAAATTCAGTCATGAATCTTTAAAGACAGATAATCATTTTTTGGTTGCGGAGTTAACGGAGCTCCACAAAACTACAAGCTTGAGGTAAAGTTGCTTGGACAATGGTTGACTCAGGTGCTTCAGACGACAATCCATGACAGGTTTCTTATTTTAATGATTCACAACAGCATAGATTTGTGGCTCACCACGAAGCCATCTAACAAATATTCAACCATGGTCTCTTCCATAACGAGTGAAGACGTCGATTTATTAATTCCACTATGACAAGTCAAGGTTTGCTGTGATTCTAAATGTTGTTTAGTTAATTGAACAAATAAAATTTGTGGTTTTGATGAAGGTAGAATAACTTGAATACAATTTCCTTCAATTAGGCAATCTATGGCTGTCTGTGTCACACTAAAGTACATTTCATTTATTTCCCAAAACATAGAATGTTACTGCATTCTTCCACCTTCACACTCATCCCTCTCTTTGCAATAATCACACTGTTTTATCCCAACATAGCTTCGTGATGGACTCAGCTTGTGCCCAATGCTCCGATATTGTTCATTAATCAGCGGAGAGTCGACAGCTAGGCTGTTTTACACCTTGTTCACGCAAACTAGTGAACATTAAGAGTGCCACGGTGGATTTGATCAGTGAATTTCGTGCCATCCTATCCAAGCTAGAAGTAGTTGAGTGCCAGTATGTTGCGTCGGCGTGTGAACTAACAGGTTTTACTAGCATTGGCTTTGCAACCATCTCACAGAACTGTTTCGCAAGAAGTTCTGATTTCTTCCTTCGTTGATTTAAATTGAAGACGATAGAATCGCATTGGCGAGGCGTCTTGAATCGTGCTGACCCACACTCCTTGCTGTACGGTTAATACCACAGCTTCAATGCACGGCTCCGTATCTCCCAGTCCCCACACTTGTGCACAGTGCATTTGCCACCCTTGCATTTCATTTCGATCATCTCGCTATTCAGTTCATTCATTCTTTATCAACACCGCACTAATTACCTATCTGCACCAAGTTGCATGCAAAACAAATTACCGTGGCTTCAGTTACATATTTCCTAATGCTTATGATGAATATTTGACATTGGTATTCTATTGGTATGCTATTGGTTCGATAATTAGCTTAATCTGTGTAACCTCAACTAAGGCTTGGTAATTTTTTCATAATTTAATTGTCTTTGCAATTTGATTGAGGCCTACATCAGCACATCGTTTAGTTCATACTGGAACAGGGTTTGTTGTGCATCATTCCTCATTATTACGCAATCAGTATATTTAATAGTTTCAAAGTCCAATCCAAGACAGAAGAAAATGACAACACTTACTCCTTGGAGCTGACAGATTATTCATTGCGTTACTGTAAAAATGATGTTATTCACACCGTCAACTGCCACATCCTTCCGTGGGATATTTTACATTTTGCCAAATTAGCCCGCGTTATTAGCAATTCGACTAGGGCACATGTCAGCTTTTCGTCTCCTCAGCGTCCCCTCAGACCACTTTTCCTATCCCGCACGTGCTTCAAGCACACATCTGACACCAAGATGCAACTCCCAAGGGCTCAGGCACGTTGCGTTCAAATTATGCCTATTCGTTGATTTTACACACCCAGATTACTTTCCAAGCAGGTGTTGTGTTCACTTGCAGCTCCTTTCATCAACACGTTCGATGCCGAGTTGCTTAACCCAACAGGCTAATCAATTGACTCATTGCCCGCTTGTACTGGTTGTGCGAGCCCTCTTTCCCAGAGTCTGTCCTTCAGTTTCTTGACCACCGACAGAAGCTGGACAGGATAGGAACATGTATTAAGGAAAACTTGCTTATAAGACAATTTAGAGGCTGCAAATTGAGGTTTATGCCGTGTTTAGAAAACCTTCACTCATGACCTGGACAATATCTACTTCCTAACAGAGGATTCCATTCAGCGTTTGGATTTACTCTCTCATCTTACTCCTCATTGTCCTAATAGCTTATCATCTACAATGCTTGCGTGCTGACGAACACACTTCTGCTGTCAGAGTCGAAGCAGTTTTCGTGTTAGAATGCATGAAAGCAACTTGTATTGTGCATGGTTAAGGTGCATTCTGTGTCCCACTAACTTTGCCAAATCATACGTACTCACTGTACGGCCATGCAACGCAATCGTTCAAGTTATGCGCTTCACTTCAAATGGCACCACATCATTGCCATTGAAGACTTCAATGCTTGTGGCTATTTGTCACCAATAAAGGCAAAGAAAGACCGGGTCTAATGTTGAGTTGTTTTACGAAACTCAAAAAATCCTGTTTTGAAGCATTAAAAAACAGCGTTCATTGGTGTTGTGGGAGGAGGCCTCGTTTCCTCATTGTTTTCTCAAAGCCTCTGTAATCAATAAAGAAGGAAATAAGACTTCTACTTAGAAACAATGAGTCGAAACACAGCGAAGCACCTCGTGTTCACTCACCTTAAATTGGGTCGCCGCACCAACATTGCGTTTTCTTCCCTTAATAATGCAAAACATCATAGCGCGAATAAGGAATTTTGGAATTGAGTTGAAACATTTGACTGGCGTTGGCGGTTTGCACAGCACCACGTGCATTACACTCAGGTGAATTACTTGTTAAACCATGTCCAAACAAGTCTTAGTGATTAATGTAGCGCAACAGCACCTGTTTCGATACAAAATTGCATCACCTGGCCATGCAGTGCCGTGCCAGTCTCTCACGTTCAAAAACGGAGTCATCAAATGTGGGTGACAGTGCTAGGTTGGTTTGACGCCTTGTGGCCATTTATAAACGAATTAGCCCAATTGCACGAATGCACTACCAATGCGTAGCAGCACTGCAGCTCCTTATTGCTCAGTTAGGGTGACCTAAACACCGTACTGTTTTCTGTTCGCTGATTCACTTTGCCAGCTGAACCGACAAAAATACAACAGTTTGGGACTTTCCAATTCAAGTCAAGTCGTGCTAAGACAGGGCTGGTTTCAAAAGCACTACAGATAAAATTGAGTGGCAACTCTTCAGTGTTCTGCAGTGTACACGGAGCTAAGTTGACGTAACTTACATTGCCAGAGTCGACAACGCGTCTTCCTGTAGGTATAAAAGAAGGTGTCATAAATATTTGAAAGAGCGAAACCTGGTCTAAATGGTAAGCTGTATTTCGCACTTCTTCAAATTAAGCATACGACAACGTGCTTGTTTTATCTTACAAGCCATGCGAAGAACCCAACTCAAATAAGCGACATCCTCCAATAAGTGCGATACGTTTTCGCAATACTTTGATTATGAACAAACTGCTGTTTAGCCGTTTGTGTCTATTCGTTGCAGTGACAAACCAAAACGTGTCACACAATGGTGGAATTTCACCTGAACCCTTTCGGTTACATACATGCCACTGAAACACGGTTTTATTCCATCTTTGAAATCAAGCCATACACTGAGGTCCGCAACACCACCTAATCAGCTCAACATCACAGCTGACTCAGACACAGTCTTACGAGACCGCTGGTACACACCTCGCAGCATTCAGAATGCCTTTACCAAGTTTTTCCAATGAATGGCAAGTGTGTTCACTACTTCAGACACCGATTCTTGTGTGACATTACCATAGCGCTTTTGAGATGCACAACGCCATCATTAAAAATGATAATTACAAATTTTCACTTGCCACTAGCCAACCATGTTCTCAACAACGGAGTTTAATTACTCTTTCAAATAACTCAAGCAAATTGACGAAAATGAGCGGTATATTTTACTTACTTGGTCGGCTGTAGGCTTTTGGTTGCTCACTTTCATCGCTTAGTTGAAGTTCTAGAAATAAGTTGAGGTAATTTAATTTCGGATGCACAATTGTTGCTTATTCAACAAATTGTTAGTGGAAATGCTGCTAATGGTTTAGGCCGCGGCTAACCTTTTGCATGAGGTCCACGAGCAAAATGATGACGATGATGACGATGTTGTTGGTGCCGCCCCATTTCCTCGTCTACAAAGCAAAAGAGGGAATTCGCTGCGAATCTCACTGTTTCAACTATTCAGCAGTTGGCCTTCGTCATGTGCATCCACTGGTCCTCTCACTGACCGACACAAACAGTGCCGAATTTTTCGTTTGTTTTTCATCTCGTATGTGTTTCACATGATATATCATAAATCTTCACTAGTTGTTAGTGTACATACTAATGTGCAAATGTGTAATCATTGCATTTTTGAGAAACCGAATAGTCACACCAAGATGAAGAACGGGATGAACTTGAGGTCAACTACTTTTATGGTCTTTTCACGATTTCCTACAAACTGATCAAACCAAGGAAGCGTGGGCAGTGCACGCAGAGAATTTTCGCCACTTGCAACACAAAAGATGGCAAAAAACTTGACAATTTAGCCTTATAGCAAACAGATGTTCGCGTAGTTGGTTACGCACCATCATTTGGCAAGTGCGTTCGTACAAATACCTAAACAACTACCAGATTCGTCAACGAGGCTGAATGGATGTGAGCAAAGTGGTCACACTGAATAATAGCGAAAAGTGGGTAGCGTAGCAGGAACTCACATTCAGCATCTGAGTAGTCTCTGCCGTCCGACTGCATGAACCCTAAAACATCCAATTTGACAATTGAGGCAAATTCGTGGTGCGCTAGTTTACACCCTAGCTATGCTTTATGCATCAGTACATACGTGATTCAGTGTATTTGTCCTTGGGCATAGGCTTGCGTCCTAAAACAGCATTGAACGCAAAGTAGAGAGGATCTTATAAAATGACTTGAAGGTGGCTGCAGAGCCACGTGAAGAGAGCTACGAGGACTCACTTATTTTCACGTCGTTTTCGTCATTTTGTTTTGCTGAAATAATGGTCGAAGGGGTTATGGAAATTAAGATTGACACGGTGTACAAAAACATGTCAGTGTGTGACTTACATGGCCGTGTTGTCGTTTTCCGCTCAACCACCTCTAGTAAAACCAAATATACAATTGCTTATGTTAAGGCCACATGATACGTTATATGGGAAAGCACTAGCAAAGAGAGGCGAATCAATGAGCTCCAATATTGTGTAGCCGCATTCACTGAAGATGAAGCATGAGCTTAAGGCTGTCTAAACGTTCTCGCGAAAAGGCAACAAAAGCAGGACAGTGTTAATTGTGGTTAGATCGAATAACTTGCACAGACAAATGCCATCCGTTTCCGCTTTACAAAATTATTGCGTTCAGCGAACTAAACGTACCCATTTGATCTTTCACATTTAATGAAAACATGACGCGAAAACGCATGTCAATTTTGGTATTTCTTATTTATGAATCATTAGCGGACGAATGTGGAGAATGCGCATACTATGTGCTATTCTCAATTAACACTTTTACGCAGCTGTGGCCTGGCATTTTTGGTTTACTTCTATGCCTGGAAATTTGCTTGGCGCACATGTGAATAAACATCGCTGTCTATCCTAAACAAAAAATCCACTTCAACTGATCTCTGTACCTTATCTGCGTGTGGTTTCGCTACAACTGAAACCCTGTCTAAGTGAAGCTTTTTTTCCTCAAACAATCTCAGGAGCCATGACTGTATTAGTGTGCTGTTACACCACTACTTACTATGGTTGCTTCGTTGAGGACGTTCTTCCTCTTTGGCTAGATTTGAAATGCATGCGAATTAGTCGCGCTGACCTATATTATCGCATGATATTGAGATTGTTTGCTTTTGTGAAAGGGAATGGGATACGTTTATCTGTTCATAAGTTCCAAGCGTGTACGGGATATCTTTCTCGCGAGCTCTTGCAAAGCAGTGTTTACTTGGTTTGCGTAGTAGGCTCTTGTTTACAACGCTTTAAAATCTCGTTAGACCGTTCTACCTGACACTTGGAACATTCAGATGTCACGGCTATTCAAATCGTCATTTCAAATCCATTTTTTTTGCAAACGCCACTGTCACGAGACAAAGCCGTTATGTCCACTAGAACCCCAAAAGGCATGAAAGTACCCCCCAAATGAAAAACCGGTGCTGTTGAAAGGTACCCGCGCATCCAAAGATGACCACGAAGCGATCAAACTATTCTCCAGCTCACATAACTTTTTAGCACTTCCTCAATTCACCCAAAACCGACACAGAGAATGTCAAGTGAGGACATGCCCAGCTTTCACTTTGCCCCATTCCTCTGCATTCATTTGGGTCAACTCAAAATCACCCAATGCATTAGTGCAACCTGATATTGTGTTTGATAACACGGCTTCGACGCTAACTCATCCTCTCTAGGTCAATTTGAAACCTACTGATGTGGGCATGAATTAGTGCTAAAATTGAATGTGAATAAACGTGTGATTCAATACCCAAACTAACTCACGTCGGCTGTGCGGTTTTCTGTTAGCTTTGTGAAGACACTCACCTGGCAAAACGAAAGTCAACAGTTTAGACGCTTGAGTGGGTAATACTGCACAATTACACCCTCATCACAATGGAAGCCGTGTCGTGTGCTTTGTGCTAACATCAGTGAGCTTTTCTAACCTTCTGCAAATGGGCAGTACAAACCCATACAAAATGTTGCTAAACAATATTTGTCTGCTTTCCAAAATGAAGGCTTGGCTGCACAACCAATGCGCCAAACAGGTGCCAATTGACCGCATCATATTCAGAGAAAGTCGAGTTAAACTCGAGCTGCTCGAAACGGTTAGTTGTCTTGAAAGAAGTCCCCAAATGTCTTACCAGGTCTGCGTCGAGGTGGCACTGCTGTAGAAGGATCACCTGACCAACGTGAAATAAAAAATTTCGTTTTCATTTGTCAAGACAAAAATACAACTAAATGGTCTCTATAAGAACGCTTTAATTGGGTGTAACTTGCATCACCATGTATTAGGTTGGGTCTGAATGATGCTTACTTACTTGTGACACTTGTGAACACCAAACACTTCGTTGGTGCTCATAATTTGTCTGTCATATAAGCCTACTGTTCAACGATACTCAAAAAGTGCATTTTTATTTGTGAGGTCCGTGTTGGTGGACACACGAACTATGTGCATGTCGAATTTCAAACATCGTTGCATTGGTAGATTAGAAGTACTTTTCAACTGGTGCATCAGGACACTATAAGCTGCGTAGCTCAATCCAATGTGCCTGGCACACGACAGTGACGGTAAGGACCCGGTGGTACTCAATTAAACGAGCCTATCTTAATGGGGCGTGTAAAGGAAGCCCAAACATTGCTTAAAATCTTCCTCGTTATTTTTCTCCCACGAAGACATTAAGTCAACTGACTTACTGAAGTACTCTTCCTCAGCAGTTTCGGCGTCCGAATAATCTAAGGTAGGACACAAGGAGAAATACACTTACAACTCTGCCAAGCACATGGCAATGAAGTCAGCGTACAAGACAAAGTGCGAAACGAAAATCTACCGAAAGTTCATTTCTGTTGCACAGAAATTCAGATTGGCGTTATGCTCATTCAGCCGCACATGATTAACTAAACGGTCTTCAGCGAGAACGTACCCAGTTCTCTTCGGCTCCTCATTGGCTCGCGTTTGAGTTCCCTTGGGGGTTTGGGCCCTGCAAAACCAAATTCACACGTAAAAACAATCTCCACGTTCGGAACAAAGTTGCGGACTGAAGCGTAATTAGTTGAACGCTGTCTACGAAGAGGACGGCAACAAGCAAGTTGTACACAAGCACCACTTTGTGCATTACTTCATTGTGAAGCCAAACCACTTGACTTCAACGCAATCTAAGTGAATACTTTTCTTCACCCTAACATAACTGTCAGGTCTTTAGTAACACCTATCAAATGAACTTAAGCATACGGTCTTATGAACAAGGACAGACTTCTCTACTTTGGATTCTGTTACCATTCTACATTTTTGGTTTTGTGATCATGATGGAAGAATTCGTCTGCTTTGTTGCCTTGACGGTACACTTACTTTGTTTTTGGTGTCTGGCTTGAGGTGGACGATCTACAGAATCAAAACACGCACTTTGGTATGCGCTCATTGAGGAGACAGATAAGAAAAGTAGTAACAGTGCTCAGTCTCTAATTTTTGTAAAATTCTCAGCCTGATTAGCAAGATGCACACATTAGTATGTCGCCACCTTGTATCTGCCTTGGCTTTCACAGTCACCTGTGATTTCGTAATCAAATCAACGCCAATCTTTTCAGTGGTCTGCTCAATACATCGGTGGTGCAATCGCTTAATGCAGCACAATTCAACTCTCTGATTTACCAGTGCCTGTGTGCTTGTACTTGAGTTTAACTTGAGGTTAGTTTAGGAATGAATGTCTACTGAAGAAAACGAAGTGGTAACAAGCTAGACCATCGTCTGCAAGTCAACTGGAAAGGGCCTACAGTCGCCTTCCTAACTCCTTTTCGCTGCCACGCACTGGCACTTACATCTGTCGTCGGAATCGTCACTGTCACCTAAAACATTAATACATCACATGGATCAACACAAAGCAAATTCAGATTTGAGGTACTTTTCAACAGCGCAAACACGTTAACTTCTGTCTTTAAGATACAATTTCATGGAGCAATTATGCACGTATATTTAACGTCAAGTAAACAAACACAACTTATTAGCACATGGCTTAAACTTACCCAAATATTTTGTTACATCTGCTAACAACCCTGCTCAACTTTCATTTTCCATTTGCAAGGTCAAACGAAAGTGCCCTGTCTAACTCAACGGCATGAGCTTTGGCATCCAGTGGTTGGGGATCTATTATCAATGAGATGAGCTGCAGTGTGGTTTACCCACAGTCATTTAGTGGCAGATTTCAGCGTAGCAAGCATCTACTTTTAGGTGTTCATGGCAGTAAGCACCATATTATTATTGCTGCATGACCAAGTTAGTATTTCGCACTTGGAATCATCAGCGACTGTGGTGATGCTCAAATACTTACTTGAAAACTCGAGTCGCGTAGGCACATATGAGTGGTGTCTATGAGGGACAGCTATAAATGGATGCACAAAGTAGTGAAGAGAGTTGCATTTGGAGCTCGTGGAGGCAGCAGCATGAACTGGTTTAAAATGCGCCTAAAACACCAACCTTGTCTCCTGGGTCTCTCTGAGTACCTTGACTCCATCCTTCGGTGTGGAGCAGCTAGTGGGATATCAAAAGTAACTGGTTACGATCAACGCCTTGAGAAACACGACTATTTCCGCTAAACAAATCATTCACTTAGTGATTTTAAAAAATTAAAAACCGGATTGAAGGGAATAAAAGTCGTCGTAAATTATACTTAGCCAACAGAAAACAGCTTAACATACGCGCTTCCTCGAAACTGTATTCATCATCTGCATGGTCGTAAAAATATTTCATGTCAGACACTTGGGGAATTTCATTGTGTACACAAAAGGTACTAGTGCAGTCTAGCAGAATTTGAATGCAGGCTACATGAACATCCATTTATCAGGAATGTTGTAGGCGCTGAACACGGCTGGCAGAGGATTTCAATCAAACAGTAGCTATGTGATAGAAAGTTCGTCTACTTATAACGGTGTCTTCATCACAGACACACTGCTCCATAAAGCTTTTCATGTTTGCTGGAGCAGTCTGTGTAAGTTTGATTCATGACCAACAGGGTTAGGTGATATCTGGTATTAACACTTAATTGGGTTGGCCTCCATAACACCACTGAAACCATGAGTTTAACCTAGACAAACTCCATCCAACTTGCATGTGCCGCGTCATGCGTTCGATCCTGCTCAAGGTTTTTGACTTATACTACAAATAACCCCATGCCTTTCTAAATTTATCAGACATCTCTAAAGCAGGTGAAGCATGCTTCAATGCAAAACGCTCCGTACTTTAGCATATAAAATGCTCATCAATAGAAACAGTACCTCACAATCATTTACCTACCCAGTTTATTGTTCTTTGAATAGCGCGAATCTCTATAGTGATCGATCTCTGAAATGAAAAAGTCGGTTATTCCATTTACGATGCATAGTTTAATAGGGAACTATGTTAATCGCAACTGATGATGGTGATGACAAAGTGTGAGTGGCCATGTAAGAAAGCCCATCATTGCATATCTGATTTCTATTCGCTAGAGCCTGTAGCTTATGTATAAGTGTCAACCATCAAAAAGATTAGCTCCAGTGCATAATGAGGATGCAGAAATAAGTGAAAAACACAACACCAGAATCTAGACATACCTCTGCCT